GGCCCGCGGGAGCGGGCAAGCCAGCAGTGGCGTCGGCGGCGCATCGAAGGGGCGGCGACAGGCCATCGAGGACGACGGCGAGGACGACGAGGACGACGACGACGACGACGACGACGACGACGACGACGACGAGGACGAGGACGAGGACAGCGAGGACGGCGAGGGGACGAGGGGAGGACGACGAGGACGAGGACGAGGACGACGAGGACGAGGGGGCAGGCCGTCTCAGCAGGCGGTGGGGCTTCTCAGAACACCCGCAGGCCTTCCGAGAAGCCGCCCGCACCTTGGGTTGGGTCTGGCATGTCCCCCTACAGGCGGATCTCGGACGAAAAAATGCAGACACCCAAAAAGTGCCCCAAAAGAGTTGCAAAAACCATCCAAAGATCGTGCGCCCCTGAACACTCCTCCTGTAGAGGGGCATGCCCGACTGAAAGCTTGGGAGAGAAGAGGCTCAGGAAGCTGCTCGGAAGGCCGGAGGCCTTCTGAGCCTTCCGGGAAGGCCCGACCCCTCTTCGGTGGCAACTCACGGGAGCCTCCCGTACCGTCTTGTCGACTCTTGCGAATCGACGCTCGTGGACGCCAAATCGACACTCATCGACGCCAAATCGACGCGAGTCGACGCCGAATGGACGCCAAATCGGCGCTCTCTCATCGCCTCCCAGACGCCAATCGACGCTAGTCGGCGCTCAAGACGGAATTACAAGAGCACAGGGCTCATATGTTTGGTTACCGAACCCATCTGCCTTGCCCCCTCCGTCCTCCTCTGTAGGTACGAAGACTGTCTGGATCACTTCAGGCACACCTCTGTTCTCTCTCACCGTATGACATGTTCACCATCTCCGAGAGAAACTTCGTGACATGAGCCATGTGCCGTTGCAGGGTGTTCGTTGCCCAGAGAGTTGCTGGAGTTCCCCCTGGGGGGAAAATCGGCCTTGCCTCCTGGAAGCGCGCCGCGGAGTCCCCGAGAGAGCTTGGCTGAGTTCGGGCGTGTCCCCCTGCAGGCGGATCTGGGACGAAAAATAAAAGGCACCCCAAAAAGAAATCCAAAAATACTCAAAAAACGTGAAAAAATCGTCCCCGGATTTTTTTTGCTACTTTTGTACCTTCCTCCTGTAGAGGGAAAGGCCCGATTCGAAGCTCGGCTGGTGTCCGATCAGCGCACCGGCCCGATCGCCGCGTGGCCCTCGGCGAGGTGCGGAGCGCCGCCGGTCGCTCTCCGCGGGGGGAGCAACCGCGGGAGCGAGTCCGGGGCGCTCCCTGCTGCTCCGCCGCTTGAGCGAGCACGGTTATGGGAGAAAGGGTCGGAGGCCTGGAGATTGGCACCAATAGGGGGCCACATGCGAACCCTACCCCTACCCCCCACGATTTCTGAGGGGGAGGGTGGGGTTCACCTCGCTCGGGAGCTCCCGAGCGAAGTGATCCCCACCCTCCCCTCCAGAAATCGTGGGGGGTATGGGTAGGGTTCGCATGTGGCCCCCTAACCAACACCAACACAGGGGGTTGCCTCCACAGGGGGAAGATGATCTTAGACGTCGGTGTTGGTGGTAATATCTCGGACACCCTGGAGGCCAGGATACTACCACCATCACCGAGATCGGGATCTTCTTCCCTCGGTGCTGGCACACAGCCAATACTGGTGTTGGCGACAACCTCTAAGCCTGCGACAGAACGCTCGGAAGTCCCCCGGCCTTCTGAGAAGTTCTCTGAGCCTGCCCCGAAAACGACAAAAACTGCTCAGAAGGCGCGGGGGCTTCTGAGAAGTCCCGCCGCCTTCTGAAAAGGCCTTCTCCTTCTCATTTCCCCCCCTCGCTCGCCGCCGATGTAGATTCCAGATGACTAGTGGGAAAGTGTGCCGGTGAACCTTTGAGTAAATCTCGGTCTGGGCGAAAAGACAACACTCTGCGCAGATAAAGGCTGTGGTGGGAAGCATGATCAGGGCGATGGTTCCAAATAATACGCAAAGGGCAGGGCTGCGAGCGAAATTCTTCTAGCTGATGCCGAATAAGCAGAATGTTTGCCAGCGTGGACCCCCAAACAGTGGCATGCTGCATTGTGGGTGTGCAAGCTCCGCAGTGTGATCTATGAGGCGTGAACTATGTGGTGTGAGCTGTGAGGTGTCAGCTAGGTGGCGCAATCAATGTGATGCAGTGTATGTGGTGTAAGCTACGCGATGCAATCTATGTGATGCAATATATGTCGTGCGAGCGATGCGGCGCTATAGATGTGGTGAAATCGATATGGTATGAACGATGTGGGGAGAGCTACGTGGTGCAATGAATGTTTTAAAGTCATGAGTTGTCAGTTCCACTGATCGCGCAACTCGGTGGGCTATTGAGTGTGCGTCGGTGACTCGGGCGGGTGCGGTATCATGATGACGTTGACAACGGCGGCAACGATGACGATAGTAGCGACGGCAGCGATTGACGATGGCGGTGACGGCGGTGATGCGGTGGTGCTGCTGAAGGTGACGGGGAAGAAATGCGCACTCGCAGAAATGCAAGAAAACAGGCATACGCCTTGTTGACAAAAACTTGGATGTCCACAGGGTTTGAGCGGCTATAGCTTCAAAAGCTTGGAGAAACGATGAGTTGGAAGGGATTCCGACACGCGCGCGTGGCGGCGCGCACGTGGCCCGCATGTGTTTCGATACAGCTTCGCGCACTGGGCGCCCGCTAGATCAGCGCGGGCGAACCGCGTGACGAGATCAGAATGCTGTCGCTGGGCGAAGTTGCTAACTTCACATGGTTGTTCTCTGGCTTCAGCACATGAGCGCGGGCAAAGCATGTGCAAGATGAGTGATGGAAAACCTAGGGTGCTTGATGCTAATGTGTTGGAACGATTGCCAAAAAGAGGGCGCGCGCGCGCATAGTATGATTTGACAGGGATGGAGAGGGGAGTCGGTGCCCGTTTGGGCTGGGATGGTATGCGTTCACATGGAGAACCAATGGTGACCCAGACTCGCATGTAAAGTTTTCTATGCCAGGGTATATCGATAATACTGGGAGAGGGTGGTGGAGTCTATCTTTGTTTTCTGACAGGAGGCATCTGTGGTATGATCTACGGGTGCAGGCTACGTGGTACAGTCCAAGCGGTGCGCCCGATGCAGTGTAATCCTGCTCGTGTGAGCTATGGTGTGTGCGCGATGTGGAACAATCCAAGTGGTGTGAACTATGATGGCGAACTACGCGGTGCAAGCTACGTGGTGCATTTGCCAACCCATGAGTTGGCAGCACCACTGCTCGCACAATCGTCCCACCCTCCCTCCCCCAACGTAGTTACAAAACCCATACGGCCACAAACGCGCTTGCCGATCGGTACTTGCTTGCACATCTGTGCGGCCGCGCTGGCGCGCGAACGCTTGCGCGCAATGTGGCCAACTAGTTTGGCGCGACCGACGCGGCCGCGGTGGCGCTGAACGCTGGGCACTTCCCAGCGCGTCTCGGAAGCAGAGATGGCGCGCGAGCACTTCAGTGCGGGTCGGTGACCCGGGCGGGCGCGATACAATGATGGCGTCCACAGCGGCGGCAACGATGATGCTAGTAGCAATGGTGGTGGTCATGATGACGATGACGACGGCAAGACCAATGACAGCGCCGATTCTGGTGACGACGCTGACGATGATGATGTCCATGTGTCGGTGATGGAGGTGACTGTGCTGATGATGACGGCAATGGCGGCGATTGACGATGATCACGGCGGCGGTGATGCGATGGCGCTGATGAGGGTGTTGGTGCAGAAGTGCGCGCGCAGAAGATTGTTATTCAAAATCACATGGCTGTCATATCCGTTTGGAAAATCATGTGTCGAAATGCTTCGGAATCCAATGATTTTGAAAAGACTTCGACACACGCGCACGTGGAGGCATGCGCGTTTGGCCCGCATGGTGCGATGTGATACGAAAACGTGCACTGAGCGCATGCTAGATCAACGCAGCTGCACCGCGTGGTGAAATGAGAATGCGGGCTGTGTGCGAGATTGCTATATTCATCCTGATGTCAGCAAGTGCGCGCGGGCAGAGAACCTGCCAGATTATTGTTGATGGAAAAATGAGGGTGCTCCCATGTTTGAAATCCACGCAACCTGATATAGCTGGTGTGATCTGCACATGTGCACGCGCGTGTGGACTTTGTGCTTCGTTTGCAACGACGTAATGCTAAATGGTCTTTGACATTAACGAGTGCACGCGCATGCATTCATTTGGCTGGGATGGAGGGTCGATCCCGGCCTGACTGCGATGATCTAGCTTCAGCCGCAAGATGAACGATAGGGCAGAATCGCACGAACACTTCTGAGCCCAAGGGGGGATCGATCAGTCCGGGCTCGGGAGGGTGGCGAAGCCTACCTTTCCTGCAACAAGGAGAACATGTGTGGCATGGGCTGCATGGTGCAAACGCTGGCGTGCGCTGTGTGGTGCACGCACGACGGCCCCACGAGGCGGCAACGGGCCGCAGCGTGACGAGGCCTCGGCGGACCCGCCCCGCGCACGGGGCGCCCCACGGAGGCGCCCACGGGCGGCAGCGCGGCGACACCTCGGCGGACCCGTCCACGGGACGCACAGAGGCATACCAATGCTCTGCGTCCTCCCTGGGAGGCGCGCGTCCGCCACGAACATACAGTATGCCCATCTTGTAGTACATCGTTCCCCGAGCGGGGTGGCCAGAAAGCGCCCGCCACGACGCATACACTATAAGATTTCTCGGTGCGCGCGTCGCCCCTGGGGGGCGACGCACAGATAGTATAAGTATGTTGGGGTGACGACGAATCCAAATGCCTAGCACGACATGTAAGATCCCCGACTGTTCTGCTGCCCCCATCGTACTTAAGGACCACATCCCCGAAAGAATTTCGAGCACCCGGGAAAGTGTCGAAAGGGTGTCGAAAGAGTGTCTCCCAGGGCCCGACACGCGAAAACCCTAGAGTTTGGGCACTTGTTTGGATGCTCGAAATTATTTCTGTAAAGTGGGTTGGAACATCATAACCCGACTGCAAGTGCAGGACATTTCTGGGGAACAAAGCGCACAAGATCTTTGCATCGTCAGCAAGCGTCGCCGCGTCGCCTAGAAGTCAGTGAGAAAAAATAGGAAAGCGACCATCCACATAGACTTCAACCAGTTGCTGGTCCACATCAAAAGGACGATTGATGCGGAAGTGAGCCGAGGATCTATCGCCGAGAATGTATTCAGCGGCGCGCAGCTGAACGTTAAGGAAAATATGCGGCGCTAGCCCTCAGAAAACTCCCGGAGAAACGCTCTGAGCAGCCGACAGAATAGTGTGCTCGCTTCGTACGGTGAGGAAGAGCTTGATCAGAGCGTGAGATATCCGTGCAGGCCCGCTGTCTTTGTATCAAGCAAACTTCCTTTCCAGGAGGTGTTCGCTTTCATCGTAACAACAGTGCCTTTAAAACTGTCTCACTTGGGGAATTAATGCTTCAACATGTCCTGGAACTTCCCGCTCGCAAGCATTGGTAGCACTCCGTGCCACGGCTCCGTGCCGTCGTTGCAGCCACCGACGTAGGTCCCCTTCCGGGCTGCACCAGAAGCCGATAACAAACGCAATGTCGTTACACAAAACACACAAGAACAAAACAACAACAACAACAACAACAACAACAACAACAACAACAACAACAACAACAACAACAACAACAGCAAACACAACCACAACCACAACAACAACGACAACAACAATAACCGCAACAACAACAACAGCAGCAACAGCAGCAGCGACAACAACCACAACCACAACCACAACGACAACAACAATCACAACAGCAGCAACAACAACCACAACCACAACCACAACAATAACAACGACAGCAACAAACCTAACAACATCAACGACAACAATCATTATAAGACTGATCACTCTGATCTGCTCACGTGCCATTCAACACATATCCCAAACCCCCGGTACCCGCCCTCTTCGTCTTGGATCGCACCCCCTTAGGAGGTATATATCTTCCCTACCTGCTGGGTGTAATTGGCGCAGCCCCTGAAACAGGGTAGACGCCAGGAAGGGGGGGGGGGGAGAAGGCTGGAGCACAGGATTAGCAGGAGGGGGCCAGGAGCAGAGAACACGTGGCAGAACCAGACGGGCAGATCGGGCGGGTAAACCCTAACGGGCGGCTCGGCAGGGCGGGCTCAGGCGACCAGGTCCAGCAGGCGGGTTGCTGAAGCGTGAGCCCTGCATGAATCGCGAGGAGAGCTCGAGCGATAGCGCGATTCCCTGACGAGGAACCAGCGAGAGCGTGATTCCTGAGTGTCGAGGGCGCGGCATCGGAACAAATTGCGAGGGAGTCCCACGCGAGAGCGCGATTCCTGCATGAATTGTGAGGATGTGCCGCGCGAGGGCGCGATTTGGGCACCAGCTGTGTTGAAAATCAGGCAGGGACAATTGTTTTTGTAACTCGAGGGCCAGGGGGCCAGTTTGACTCTCAATAGTTTCCCTAACAAACAGCCGGGTGCGAGCCCCGGGAGGGGCACGTAAAATGGGAAAATACAATGTGCACCGGAGGCGGGGGATCAACAAGAATTATTCTTCCGAAATGTGAACCCAGCAGCAACAACAACAACAGCAACAGCAACAACATTAACAACAACAATAACAACAACCACAACCACAACCACACCAGCAATAGCAGCAGCAGCAGCATCAAGTACAACCAGAACAGCAACAGTAACAGCAACAACAACAACAATAACAACAGCAACAGCAACAGCAACAACCACAACCACAACCACAACCACAACGACAACAACGACCACGACGACGACAGCAACAACAGCAACAACAGCAGCAATGGCAACAACAGCAGTAACAACAACCACAGCCACAACCACAGCAATAACAACAACAAACAACAGACAACTAACAACAAACGACAAACAATAAACAACGAACAAAAAAACAACAAACAACAAACAACAAGCAACAAGCAACAAACACAGCAACAACAACAACAACAACAATTACTAGCACGTGGGGACACTCCGTTCTCACCAGTGCCAGGGTTTTCATAGGAGGCGGGCAATACCCCCACTTTGTGGGGGGGCCGGTTCAAGCTCTACCACATTTCCAAACGACTCTTCGCCACCACCCACACCCAGCTTCCCGCCCTATGACGTTCGGACACCTCACTTCGTGGCCTGCGGACGACCTTGGCTACTACACTGGCGCATGGGTACAATGACTTGTTGTGGTAACATTTTCTGTAAGCTAGCTTAGTATACGACTTTTCCCCCTGCAATTGAAGATTTCGGCGTGCGCGCGCGAAGAAAAAACGAATGTGTCCCATATGGTATTATTTGACAGGGATGATGGCCCTGGCAGGCGCGCAACCGTTGTTGCAGAAGTTCGAAGCACGTGAAAAAGTTGCTCGCAAGAGCCCGTTTGACAGAAATGTTGAAAAAGTATTGGGTTTCCTAAGAAATCCGCAAGAGCGCGCGGGATGAATGTTTGAAACTTTTTTTTGAAAAACCATTGGGTTTTTCATGTTTTTATGTTAAAATCGCTACGAAAACTAAGGTTTGGGAAGGATTTCATCTTGCGCGCGCGAGTGTGCACTTCGTGTCATTTTTTGCAAAGGATTCTTGAAGTTTGGTTATGTTAGAACAAGACATGTCATTTTATATTGTTTTTTGACAGGGAAAGCGGGCGTCAACAAAACAACCGGATCCGGACTCCCCCGTTTTGCCTGAGACTTCCTGACGAAAATGATGAAAATGTGGCTGCGGCCTAGGCGCGGCGAGGGGGGCGTGCACCAGGGGGCCCAACAATAATTATTCTTTAGAAGTAATAATATTCAACAACAACAACAACAACAACAACAACAACAACAACAACAACAACAACAACAACAACAACAACAACAACAACAACAACAACAACAACACAACCACAACCACAATCACAACAGCAGCGAAGGAGACAACCTGGGGAAGGCACTGGAGCCACTTACTTCTCGATTGCCCCTCTACTCCTTCTGCTCCCTCGCCCTCGCTTCTCCTTGACCCCTCCCAGAGACGGAGCTCAACACCAGCCGCACCCCGGGTGACTCCCCACCCCCCCCCGATTTGCCGGGGACCTGCCCCCACAGACCTCCGAGAGGGGCCTGGCATGCACCCCTGCCCTCCCCGACCTCCGAAGAGGGGCAGCGATACGGCCACGAGGGCTTGCTGGGCGTCGCGGCGGCGGCACGAGCGACACGCTGTGCCTTGCTGGCGCGTCGCTCCACTCCGCCGGGGGGAGGCTGGGAAGAGCTCGGGAGGTTGACGCTTGCAGGCCAGGACGTGACTAGCGTATCGCGCCGAGGCGTGGTGGAGGAGGAGGGGGAGGAGAAGGAGAAAGAGGGAGGAGAGGAGGAGGAGGAGAGGAGGAGGAGGAGTTTGGAGAAGGAGGGAGGAGAGGAGAGGAGGAGGAGGAGGAGGAGGAAGAGGAGGAGGAGGAGGAGGAGGAGGAGGAGAAGGAGGGAGGAGAGGAGGAGGCCAGAACCGGCGGCGCGACACGCTCCGCAGGCGTTCCTGGCCGCAGCGCAGCAAGGCCCGATTTTTTTTTGGGGGGGGACGCAGAGCCCCCAGAGGAAAGCTGCCCCCCGGAGGTCTGGGGGGCGGTCGCCTCCTGGGGGGGCCGAGGTAAACTTAGCGCGGGCGTGTCCTCGTACAGGCGGATAGTCAAACGAAACACCAAAAAAGCTGTTCATAAAAATCAAAAGTATTCGGACCATCGTCCACATACTACTGTGTTCTATGATTTTTGAATACTCTTCATGCAGAGGGACGCGCCCGACTTAAGTGTAAACCCGTCACGCTAGCCTCGGTGATATTCTTTCCCCACGAGTTATTCACACTGGAGTGCAATGGGACATCCAGCTCTGGAGAATGCTTCGAAAAGTGCGCAATCAAACATGGAGCCGCTCCCACGTGGAAGAACTTCAGAATTTCGACCGAAATCCAGCGGTGGCGGCGGAACCTTTTTCGGAAACCGTTGACAGGGTACGTTTTGCTTACAGCCGAGCCTTAATCCAGACCGATGGGGCCGAGGTCTTCCCAGTTCGCTGCTTCAGTTCACCTCTGTACTCCGAGATGTGCACCATCCTGAAGTCGATGCCTTCGGACCGCAGAGCAGCTTCCGCGCGCCTGCAGAAGGGACAGGAGGGCAGGTCAAAGAAGACGACGTCGGCGGACGTGATCACATGATCCAGCTCCTGCGGAGTGCTGCACAGTAGAAAACTCCATCAGGCAAGCAGGCGAAACTACAGGTTGTTGGATGGTCGTGGAGTGAGTAGGGATCGCGTGGGGGCAGGGGAATGGGCTGCACTCCTAGAAGAAAAGAACAAAAAGAAACATACAAACAAACAAACAAACAAACAAACAAACAGACAGACAGACAGACAGACAAACAAACAAACAAACGAATAAAAAAATGCAAAACATAAATGTTTGGCGATCCGGGCAAACCCGCGCTGGACCCGCGCGCCAGGGGCGGCGTCGGAGGCGCCGCCGGGGGCCCAGGCGCACATACAAGCAATCCGCGCGGAGCGCCACAAGTTCATGTTCATGGCGTTGTTTAGTCTTCTTCGTCGTCTTCTTCGTCTTATGATCAATATATTATTATTATTATTATTATTATTATTACTATTATTATCATATTATTATTACTATTATTATTATTATTATTATTAGTACTAGTATTAGTATTATTATTATTAATATTATTAGTAATATTATTGCTGTTAATATTATCAGTATATTTGATTATAAGTATCACTATTTTATTGTTAATAGTATTGTTAGTACTATTAATATTATTATTAATAATAATAATATTAGTATGATTCGTCTTCTTCGTCCTCCTCTTCGTCGTCTTCTTATTATTGGTACTATTAATATGATTCGCATGTGTCTTCTTATGTGTCGATGCCGTCCGCAGGGCGTCGGGGAGATACATCGCCTGAAGGGGGTGGGCTCGGTGGGCGCCAGGCCGCCTCCCCGCACCCCTTTTCCCGGGCGCGCAGCCGCGCGGACCTCCGAGAGGCGATCACGCGGACAAGCGCGTTCCACCGCTCGCAGAGCAACTAGTCGCAAATGGCCTGGACCCGCCAAGGGGGGGGATCTGGGATATGTTACATCGAGGCAAACAGGTGTTTTCCAGAAGTTTGCGAGTAGGCAATTTGCGAGTAGCCGAACGCGCTCGGCGAGAGATGTGATTACGTGGACAAGCGCGCTCCACTGCTCGCAGAGCAACTACTCGCAAATGGCCTGGACCCGCCACGGGGGGATCTAGGATATGTTACATCGAGGCACACATGTGTTTTCCAGACGTTTGCGAGCAGGCACTTTGCGAGTAGTGGAACGCGGTCGGCGAGAGATGTGATTACGTGGACAAGCGCGGTCCACTGCTCGCAGAGCAACTACTCGCAAAAGGCCTGGACCCGCCAGGGGGGATCTAGGATATGTTACATCGAGGCAGACATGTGCTTCCCGGACGTTTGCGAGCAGGCATTTTGCGAGTAGTGGGACGCGTTCGGCGAGAGAGGTGGTTCTGTATACAAGCGCTCTCCACCGCTCGCCGAGCAACTAGTCGCAAATGGCCTGGACCCGCCAAGCGGGGGTCTAGGATATATTACATCGAGGCAGATATGTGCTCTCCAGACGTTGGCGAGTAGGCACTTTGCGAATAGTGGAACGCGCTCGGCGAGAGGGGTGATTATGTAGACAAGCGCGCTCCACTGCGCGCAGAGCAACTACTCCGAAATGGCCTGGGTCCGCCAAGGGGGGTCCACGAGGCAGACATGTGCTTTCCGGACGTTTGCTAGTAGGCCCTTTGCGAGTAGTTGAACGCGCTCGGTGAGAGAGGTGATTATGTGGACAAGCGCGCTCCACTGCTCGCATAGCAACTACTTGCAAATGGCCTGGATCCACCAGGGGGATCTACGATATATCACATCGAGGCAGACATGTGTTTTCCGGACGTTTGCGAGTAGGCACTTCGCGAGTAGTGGGACGCGCTCGGTGAGAGAGGTGATACGTGGACAAGCGCGTTCCACTGCTCGCAGAGCAACTACTCGCAAATGGCCTGGATCCGCCAGCGGGGTCCACGAGGCAGACATGTGCTTTCGGACGTTTGCGAGTAGGCAATTTGCGAGTAATGGAACGCGTTCGGTGAAAGAGGTGGTACTGCGCCGATCCGAAAGTTTCCCCACTTTCGCCGCCGTGCTCGCCGCGGCCATCTGGGGTGGCGCGCGCAGGATAAGACTCGCGGGGCCCGAGGGCGGACGGGGGCGATGTCGCGAGGGCAGAGTCGGCGCGCCGATGGGCAGCCCAGCACCCTATTTGGCCGGAGGGACCCAGCACAATGCAAGGGCAGAGCCTAACCCCCGCCCGGAACACGGGATTGGGTTCCCCTTCCCAATTTAAAATTCTAAATCCCGAACGGTGCGCTGACCCGAAAATGAGCAAACGGCATAGGACCTCATAGAAAAAAACTTTCGGGTTCGGTCATACGACGACACGAAAAGTTGATCGGCCGACCTGAAATTGGCCAAATCCCATTAGACTTGTGCCAAAAAAATCGGGTCCAGTTCGAACGACCCGAAAATGCGCAAACCGCCATGGACTCCTTGCAAAAACATCGTCCTCGAGGTCTTCGGACCCACGTCGAAGAAACCGAACCGAGGCAAACCGCCTAGAACATCCTATCACAAACGGTTTCTCGGTGGTTCCGGGCCTCGTCCGAAGGAGCACAAGAAAGGGCTTCCCAGAGGCGCCGTTGTCGCAAGGAATGCGCCCAGCGCGGGATCGGGGTTCGCACGGGGGCGCGGCTGCTCTCGCCTGTCCAGGGGGCATGCATTGCCGCGCCCTTCCAGCATAGCGTTTGCGCTGCGTTCGCGCGGCGCCGCGCCTCTTAAATCTGAACAAACGATCGGAGCGCCGATTCACGTAGACAAGCGCGCTCCACTGCTCGCAGAGCAACGACTCGCAAATGGCCTGGATCCGCCAGGGGGGATCTACGATATATTACATCGAGTCAGACATGTGCTTTCCAAACGTTTGCGAGTGGGCAATTTGCGAGTAGTGGAACGCGCTCAGGGAGACTGGTGATTCTGTAGACAAGCGCGTTCCACTGCTCGCAGAGCAACTACTCGCAAATGGCCTGGATCCGCCAGGGGGGATCTACAATATATTACATCGAGGCAGACATGTGCTTTCGAGACGTTGGCGAGTAGGCAAGTTGCGAGTAGTGGAACGCGCTCGGTGAGAGAGGTGATTCTGTAGACAAGCGCGTTCCACTGCTCGCAGAGCAACTACTCGCAAACGGCCTGGATCCTCCAGGGGGGATCTACAATAGATTACATCGAGGCAGACATGTGCTTTCCGGACATTTGCGAGTAGGCACTTTGCGAGTAGTGGAACGCGCTCGGTCAGAGAGGTGATATGTAGGAAAGCGCGCTCCACTGCTCGCAGAGCAACTACTCCTAAATGGCCTGGGTCCGCCAGGGGGTGTACGATATATTACATCGAGGCAGACATGTGTTTTCCAGACGTTTGCGAGTAGGCACTTTGCGAGTAGTGGAATGCGTTCGGTGTGAAAGGTGATATGTAGAAAAACGCGTTCCACCGCTCGCAGAGCAACTACTCCGAAATGGCCTGGGTCCGCCAGGGGGTGTACGATATATTACATCGAGGCAAACATGTGTTTTCCAGACGTTTGCGAGTAGGCACTTTGCGAATAGTGGAATGTGCTCGGTGTGAAAGGTGATATGTAGAAAAACGCGTTCCACCGCTCTCAGAGCAAATACTCGCAAATGGCCTGGATCCGCCAGGGGGGATCTACAATATATTACATCGAGGCAGACATGTGTGTTTCCAGACGTTTGCGAGTAGGCACTTTGCGAGTAGTGGAACGCGCTCGGTGAGAGAGGTGATATGTAGACAAGCGCGTTCCACTGCTCGCAGAGCAACGACTCGCAAGTGGCCTGGATCCGCCAGAGGGGATCAACGATGTATTACATCGTGGAATGCATGCACTTTCCCGACGTTTGCGAGCAGGCACTTTGCGAATAGTGGAACGCGCTCGGTGAGAGAGGTGATATGTAGACAAGCGCGTTCCACTGCTCGCAGAGCAACTACTCCGAAATGGCCTGGGTCCGCCAGGGGGGATCTACGATATGTCACATCGAGGGAAACATGTGTTTCCAGACGTTTGCGAGCAGGCAGTCTGCGAGTGGTGAAACGCGCTCGGTGAGAGAGGTGATATGTGGACAAGCGCGTTCCACTGCTCGAAGAGCAACTACTCGCAAATGGCCTGGATCCGCCAGGGGGGATCTACGATATATTACATCGAGGAAAACATGTGCTCTCCAGACGTTTGCAAGTAGGCACTTCGCGAGTGGTGGAACGCGCTCGGTGACAAGCTCGCTCCACTGCTCTCAGAGCAACGACTCGCAAATGACCTGGATCCGCCAGGGGGGATCTACGATATATAGCATCGAGGCAGACATCCACTTTCCGGACATTTGCGAGTAGGCCCTTTGCGAGTAGTGGAACACGCTCGGAGACAGAGGCGATATGTAGACAAGCGTGTTCCACTGCTCGTAGAGCAACTGCTCGCAAATGGCCTGGACCCGCCAAGGGGGATCTACGATATATTACATCGAGGCAGACATGTGCTTTCCGGAGGTCTGCGAGTAGGCACTCTGCGAGTAGTGCAACGCGCTCGGTGAGAGAGGTGAAATGTAGACAAGTGCGTTCCACTGCCCGCAGAGCAACTACTCGCAAATGACCTGGATCGGCCAGGGGGGATCTACGATACATTACATCGTAGCAGACAGGCGCTTTCCAGACGTTTGCGAGTAGGCACATTGCGAGTAATGGAACGCGCTCGATGAATATTTGTATAGACATACATATATATATGTGCGGACTGGGCAACCCTGAACCCAAAAACGCCTTCATCTCTTGGGGGCGCATCTTTTACTTCCGCCGCCTTCCGTCGGCCTTCCGCCAGCTTCCGCCGGCGGAGGCGGCCTCGTTTTACGTCCGCCGACCTTCCGCCGCCATCCGCCGGGGAAGAGATGCCAACTCCGTCGATCCTCGAAGGCAAGGCCCTTTTTGGAACGCTGGATATACACCTATATAGTCATGTATATATGGCTCTAGCAATCTATAAATACACATGTATCGATATATGGACGTTTCTATGCATGCAGTATGTATGTACGTGTGCACGTATGAACGTATGTACATATATACGTTTTTACGTATGTATGTATGTCTGTACGTACGTACATGTGTATGCATGTATATATGTGTATGTACGTTTGTGTGGATAAATGTATGTATGGATGAATGGATGGATAGATGCATGGTTGCATGTATGCATGTATGCGTGTATACATGTATGGATGTATGCATGTACGTATGTATGTATGTATGGAAATGTATGTAAGTATGAAAGCAAGTAAGTGTGCATGTATGTGTATGGATGTATGTATGTATGTTTGTATGTATGTGTGTATGCATGTATATGTATGTAAGTGTGTGTATGTGGATGTGTGTATGTGTGTATGTATGTATGTATGGATGGATGTATGGATGGATGGATGTGTGTATGTAGATACGCATCTATTGTGTGCACGTGTGTATGCACGTGTGTATATGTGTATGGATGTGTACACGCACGTATGTATGGAGGTGTGCATGTATGTAAGTAAGTATAGATGTGTGTATGCATGTATGCATGTGTATATGTATGTGTGTATGTATGAATGAATAAATGTGTATATGGATGGATGTATGTATGTGTGTGTATGCATGTGTGTATGTTTATATGTGAGTATGTATGTATGCATGTGTGTAGTGTATGCATGCGTGTGTGTATGTATGTATGTGTGTCTTTATGTATGTGTGTATGCATGTAGGTGTGTGTGCATGTAGCTGTGTGTATGTATGTATGTATGTATGTATGTATGTATGTATGGATGGATGGATGGATGGATGGATGGATGTATGTATGTATGTATGTATGTATGTGTGTGTGCATGGATGTATGTATGTATGTATGTATGTATGCATGCATGCATGTATGTATGTATGTATGTATGTATGTATGTATGTATGTATGTATGTATGTGTGTATGTGTGTATGTGTGTATGTGTGTATGTATGTGTGAATGTATGTATGGTTGGTTGTATGTATGAATGAATGTATGCATGCATGAATGCATGTATGTGTGCATGTATGTATGTATGCGTGTGTGTACGAATGTATGTATGCATGACTGTGCAGATGCTTAGCCTGCGCTCCTCGGCCCCCTCCGCCCCGGAGCTCCCCTCGCGAGGGGGGCCCCAGAAGAACTCTCCGCTGGCGCTGCGGCCGAACTCCACAAAGGAGAGCATGCCGAAGCCCTTCACCGCCGACGTCCTGCCCGCGAGGAACTCGAGGGTGTCTTTCCCCGTCTTGGTGGCGGCGCGCACGAAGGGGGGTGGCGCAGGGAGCGCGGCCCTCTAAGAGGGCGGGCGGGGGGGTGGAGGCTTTCTCTGAGGGCGGGGGCCTGGGCTCAGAAGGCCTGCCAGAAGCTCCTCAGAGGCCCCCCGGCCCTCAGAGGCCCCGTTGGCAGGGCGTAGGCTCTCTTCTGTGCATCCGAGGAGCCCCGTCGCGCCTTGCCTGGCGGTCCCTCACCCCGCGGGTGGCGCAGCCGACCCACCTCCGACACCCGAAAGGGGGGAGGTCGGCGACACGCAAGAGTGACCCTGGGTAAGAGTGATCTTTGGTGCGCGGCTTCTGGGGGGCCGCGGGGGGACTAAACGCAAGCGCGCAAGACGCCACCATCGCATCGCGTTCCGCGATGGGGGGTTAGCCCCAATGGGCCCACACCAAGAGATCACTCCGGCGAGGGGTCACTCTTACGCATAGCCGAGGAGGGCCCAGTGGGGCGGCGCTGGGAGGCGAGTAGGATGCCAGATCGGGCGGGGCAGAGCCCAGGGAAGTCAGGCCGGGCGGAGGAGGGGGAGGAGGGGGAGGAGGGGGAGGACGAGCAGGAGGAGGAGGAGGAGGAAGAGGAGGAGAAGGAGGAGGAGGACGGGGACGAGGAGGAGGAGGAGGAGGAGGAGACGCGGCCCGTTCGTCGAGCACTCTCTCGTCGCGGGCCCAGCGAGCGCCGACGGGTCGGTCGAGCGGCCCAGGGGGTCGCTGAGCAGCGAGGTGCGCACTGCAAGAGGCAGGGCAGAAAGAGGCAGGGCAGCCGCGGAGGCGAGGCGCGCGCGCGGGGGGCGAGGTCAGACCACCGAGGTCTTTGTCGGCGTGCAACGGCCCAGGCTCCCTCGAGTCGTTGAATCGGGTGTAGGCCCCAAGAATATACGCCACCACCACGTCGATTCCTCCTCCCTCCTCTACCCTCATACTCCTTTCCTCGTTCCTGGGAGAGGGACGTGGACAGGGAGGTGGCGGTGCTGCATGTGTTTGGGCCCCACGTGTTCCTAGAAGTGCCCCTGGCCCAAGGTGCCCCCAGGATGTCCAAGGAGGCCCCCAACGGCCTCCAGAGCACCTCTCACGAGGCCCATGGGGCCCCAGGGGCTCCAAGGTGGCGCGAAAAGCTGAGGGTCACCTTGGGCCAGAGGCACCTTTAGCAACTCCCGATTGAAGGAGGGGCGTCAGTTCATCCCAGAGAGACCCGGCAAGCCGGCGGGCTGATCGTCGGGCACATGCCAGCATGGATTACGGATCCGTGGGTCTGGCGGGTGGGCGCCAGATCCGCGGATCGGGGAAGGCATCCCCGAAGCCTGAGGCCCGTGCCGCCTGGCTCGGCGACGGAGCGCGCCAATTCTGCACCGAAGCGGGACCCGTCGCCAATCCACGCCAATCCACGTGCCCTCGAGTCTCCGGCACGCCACCGCCCCTCCCGTGCGCGCCGCGCACGTGAGGAGGAGGAGGACGAGGAGGAGGATAAGACGCTGCTTGGAACCGTCGCGCAGAGCAAGGAGGAGGAGGAGGAGGAGGAGGAGGAGCAGGAGGAGGAGGAAGATCAAAGAGGCGTATCGCGGAGGAGGTCAGGTGCCCCCCGAATCTCTGGACACGCTGACGTCCCCTCCCGTGCGCGCCGCCGGGCCTTGAAGGATCAGTAGACGAAGCCACGGCGCCCGCCGCCGCCCGGGGCTCTCGCGGGGAGCGCGGCCGCCAGCCGCGACGCGCGGCAGCTCCCGCGCAGGCCCAGCATCGCCAGAGCCGCGGGCCGCTCCTCGGGCAGGTCGACGGGCGGCGCTCTCGAAGGGCCCGGGGCGCCCCCGCCCCCCCCCCGAGGAGGAGGGCCGAGGCTGCCTCCCTCCCTTCCTCCCTTTTCCCCCTTCCCTCCCTCCTCCCTCCTCCTCCCTCTTTCCCCTTTTCCTCCATCCTCCCTTCTCCCTTCTTCCTCCCGCCTCCCTCGTTTCTTCCTCGTTCCTCTCCCTCCAGGGCCATTCAAGGCCTCGCTTGGGGGGGGGAGGGACGTCTGGAGGCCATGGGGGCCTCCGTAAGGGCAGCTGGGGTCACCGCGGGCCGGGGGCACCTTCGCTAGAGATGGAAATCCCCCAGAAGCGAACTTCGCTGTGACGGGGGGGGAGGGGGGGCAGGGGATGATGCGGAGAGGGAGGGTGAAATGGGACAGGAGGGGCCAGGGGGAGGGGAGACGAATGGGAGATCAAAAACAAAGTAAGGAGAGAAGGCGAGGGCGGGAAGAGGAGGGGCAGGGCTATGGGAAGTGAACCGCCTCGCGAGCCCCATGCTAAACTCATACGCTGGAAGAAACGTTCTAGAGGTGGGATGGGAGTGTACCGCCCAAAGCGCCTTGACCCAGCGCTGCTCCAGCTGATATTGCTTGACCCAGAAAAACTACAGACGAGAATGGTGGTGCTGAAGCGATGGCGATGGCGATGCTGCTGCTGGTCATCAGCATCCTAATATGACTGCATGCGGGTACCTGCGGCACCGGGTGAAAGCATGCTCACACGGTGAATGTTTTGTCTCCTGCTTGAGAAAACCAGCGGCCTTGGTGGCACGTGGTGTCCTGTGTCTTCTGGCACCTGGTGGCATATGAGAGCATCCAGGGTCGTCTTGTCCGTGCATATTGAGAGAGGCCTCTAGCACATGGCCCGCCCAGATCGTCCAGCTATCGCGAAGCATCGCCAATCAATAATCGACGCAGCGGTCGACGCGCATCGCCAACGCACCATTGGCACGTTTGTCCGTGGACGATGCATCGCGATACAATGTGATCCAAGATGATCCGCCGACCCAAGAGGCGTGTGCGGAATCCTTCTGCACCAGCTACCTAACCTTCCGCCGCGTAGAACATTTGTTCTTGGAGCCATCGCCGCGACAACCGCACCGCTTAGAAGCTCCGATTCTGGGGGGGGGCACCCGACAACTTCTGGCCCACACAGCCAGCCTCGCGGTGCCACTGCGTATGCGCTTTGGGAGCCACACACACACTTTTTTGGTCTGCGGGTCGAGAGCGGGCCTCTTCCGGTCAAGAGCTAGGCGGGGTGCGCAGAGCCACACACACACACACACACACCCTGCAAAAATCGCTCCAGAACCTCCAAACACGCCTCCCCACCACGCCGGACACCGCCAGCCGCCTGGAACCTCTGGGTATGCGTTTTCGAAGCCACCCACCCTGCAAAACTCGTTCTGGCACCCCCCGCCACGCCTCCCCACCACGCCCGACGCTGCCAGCCTCCCGGGGCCACTGGGCATAGGCTCTTCGGAGCCACCCACCTTGCAAGAATCGCTTCACGACCCACCACCACGCCCCCCCACCACGCCCGACACCGTAGCCTCTTGGCGGCTCTCGGTAAAAGTTCTTAGAAGCCACCCACTCTGAAACAATCATTCCTCCCACCACGCCTCCCCAGCACGCCCGACACCGCCAGCCTCCTGGAGCCTCTGTGCATGGATTTCAGGAGCCGGGGTCGGTCTAAGCAGTAGTTGTCGTCCCCCCTGTTCCCTTCTCATTCCCCCTCCTCCCCCCTTTCTGCCCCAACCTCTCCCTCCGCCCTCTAGCCTTCGAAGCGGCGAAGGGCAGGCCAACAGAAGCCAAAAACCTCAGAATCGAAAAGAAATAAATAATACAGCGGAGGGCTTTGCCATCAGATGCAACAGTGCCCCAGGGACCGAATTGTAGGAGGTTTCGTGCGCTGCCATCACGTGCAGCTCCAGGCTCCTCGTCTGCGAGCGTGCTGGCCAACGTGCTGGCTCACGCTTCACATCAATATCGCGTGTGAGTTTTTACTCGCAGCGAGTAAGCCGGCGTAGTGCCATCCATCTACGTGTGAGACCGAATCAGCACCAAACAGCACAATCCTCCTCCTTCTCCTCCTCCTCCTGCTCCTCCTCCTCCTCCTCCTCCTCCTCCTCTTCCTCCTCCTCCTCCTCCTCCTGGTCCTCCTCCTCCTCCACCTCCTCCTCCGCACCGCACGGACGAAGACAGTGTCGGGATCGCGACCCTCCCCAGGTCAGACCACTCGCTGAACTGACGCGGCGCGTGGACTCGACCTCGTTCGTACCGCGCGGACAAAGACAAGGTCGAGGTCACGACCCGTCCTATACTTAGACCACTCGTCGGAGGTGCGCTGCTCCTGCCTTCAGCCTCCTTCCTGCTGCGCTGTTGCACGGTCACGGCGACGGGGCTTGCCGCAGGCAGCTGGGTACCAATGAAATTCTCTGACACAGTTTGGATTACTTTCTAAGTTACGCAATGAAAACGCGAATGCTAAATCAAATTTCGCTAACTGTGATCTGCAAACAGCCAAATAACCAGGAGCAGAAACCTGACCGGCGCCTCGCGCGGAGCGCAGCCGGCGGGCGCCTGCAGGGCGCTCGGCTGCTCCTGCCGGAACAGACGCGCAGACGCGCGCGCGCGCGCACGCGCGCGCACCCTGTGGCGGCCACGGACACCTCGTCGTGTGCGTCGTCGCTGTCGTGTTCTCCTGGAGGTCTCCTGAGGTCCCCTGTCCCTGGAATTCAGGGGGGTTCTCTTGAGGAGCGGAAAAAATGTCCCCCAGCGGTCCGCGGAGTTCCCTGGAGGTCAGTCCCTGGAGGTCCCTGGGAATCCCTGCAAGCATGAACGTCCGAAAACTGTTTCGATCGTCGTCGTCTTGCTTGGCGTTGTCGTGCTCGTCGTCGTCGTGATCGTCGGGGTCGTCGTGCTCCACTCTCCCCATGCCCCCCCCCCACGATTACTCAAACGCCTTCCAGGCCTGAGCCAGATGGAACCGCGAAATCGGATCGGGCCGGGAACCGATCGGATCGCCACCGATTCGATCCGAATCGAATCGAAATCGGATCGACGCGCCAGGCTCCGGCTGGCCCCAGCCGGTGCCGTTGAATCCAGCCAAGCCGAATCGGAATCGTGGGCCCAGCCATCGCATCGAATCGGATCGCAGGCGGCCATGCCTTCTCCGCTATCCCCATTCCTCCTCTTCCTCCTCCACCATCTTCGCTGACGTACCATGCCCTCCAACGTCGTGGATAGAGGCCTCCTGGATGTGTTCCAAGTCAATGAAGTCGGAGGATTGCGCTGCACCGGCGCCACTGGCGTGGGGAAACTCTGGCAGACTCTGGCTCCACGTCGAGCCGCATCGTCGATGCATCGGCGCTGCGGAGCGATCCTTCGACCCCAGCTACTTGGACCCCACTTGCGAGGACTAGAGTGTCGGGGCGTCCAAGAAGGGGGCGTCCAAGAGGGGGGGCGCAAATCATGGCGGGCGGCATGTGCGCGGCCCAGTGGGGGGCCGGGGACGCATGGAAACATGAAGAGGC